CAAATCAGAAAAGACCTGAGACCAGGGGAAAAGAAAGGGAAAGAAAGAAAAAAGAAAGAGAAAAAAAAAGATAAAGATAAAAACAAAAACAGAACAAAACAAAAAAAACAATACGATCAAATATAATCAGGCTGGTGCATAGATCAGTGCCACACAGTAGATTTTGGGTGTATTTTGGTCTGTTAGAAGAAAGTGCCTCCTAAAATTTTAAAGAAAGGAAGACTTACATATGTACAAAATAAGGGTTGATACAATGAAGGGATGGAATATGAAAAGATGAAAATTATAAAAAATTTTAAGAAAGGAATTGATAAGATGTTTGAAAAAAGAAGAGGATAAAAAAAAAGGAAAGAAAAAGGGAGAGAATGTGATCAGGCAGGAGACTAGAACAAGGCCATACACTAGAGATTTAGGGTATATTTTGATATGTTAGAAGAAACTATCTCAAAATTTTAAAGAGAGAACAACTTACATATATATGCCAAAAATAAGGGTAACGACTATGAAGGGATAGAATATGACTCTAAAAATGAAAAAATAAAAATGTTTTTTAAAAAAAAGGGATTGATAAGATGTTGGTTGAAAAAGGGAAAAAGAAAAATTTTTAAAAAAAGTTAAAAAAAATTAACTTTGAAAGACCAATGAATCATGGTAAAAAAGCCATGAATTCTATGTGCAGTATTCCCCTAGCGGTGGAGTTCTGCGGTTCTCATTGATGGGTAAACTTGGTCTTGGCTGGCTGTTCGTGCTGATCTTCTCGGGGAGGGGCCTGTTTCCGTGGTTCTCAAATGTCTCCGCGGGAGGCGGAATTGCCCCGCCGTTGTCGGTCGGGCAAAGCAATCTGCTCGGGTTTGCTCTGGGGAGCTTTTGTTCCCTGCAAGCTTTCCTTATAGCTTTGAAGGGCGACAGTGAAAATGGCGGCCTCCCAATCTCGGCCTCAGAGGAGCTGAGAACTCGGGGCCGGCTCCTCAGTGCGCCCCCAGAGAACACCAGTCAGTCACTCCCATCTCCCAGGTCTCCAGCCGCACTCCGTGCTCATCCAGCCTGTGACCGAGGGTTTCTATCTCTGGTACCTGACTCGGTGTGGAGTCTCCAAACCCAGCAGATCGCTGCGGTGCAGTCCCGCGCCGTTCCTCCTGGGGGAGGAAGGGGAGTCTCCCCGGATCTGCCGCTTGTTGGGTCCCTGCTGGGAAGAGCAGTGGCCCAACTGGGCCGCAGATCACAGTTTATGGCAACCCCGAGCTGAGAGCCCGCGCCTCGGCTCCGTCTCTGCAGCCGGCTTCCCCGCTCCGATACCTGGGAGCTCTGCTGCACTCAGGCACCCCCGGTCTTTCTGTGACCCCGAGGGTCCTGAGACCACACTGTCCCAGGAGGGTTCCACCCCCCGCTTAGCCACTGGAGCAATGTCCCTCAGTGGAGCCAGCTTCTAAAAGTTCCGATTTTGTGCTCCGAGGCTCTATCACTTGCCAGAAGCGGCCGATGGAGGCCCCCTCCCCCGCCGTCTATCCTCCCGAATATCGCCTCGGATTCACTTCTCCGCACATCCTACCTTCCAGCCTCCGCCATCTTGCTCCCCCCGCCAGGAATCTGTAACTTGAATTTTTGAAGATAACATACATAATGTCACTAGATGTCTGCTGGAACTTGATTTTGATTATACCACATGATTGTAGCAAGCTAAACTAAACACTGGGTCATTTGATAACTAAGACAAGTTTACAGTCTTTGGAGAAGGAGAGTACAGGCTCAGAAACCTAGAGCTACAAGGACTTGATATTCCAAAATTCCAGACAGGAGCCCCCAAATCTGAATCATGATGTGATATCAGGACTAAATAAATCTAGGCTTTGGAGTTACACCTCATTTAGATTCTGGTCTCAACATAATATTATATATGGGACCTTGAGCAAACTGAAGTCTAAAGTTTTCTCAGTTGTGAATTGGAGATTGAACCCTTAACATTAACCACACGTTAATGTTAGATGAGAGGGAGTTTTCAAATGTTAAATATATTAAATATTTAACTCATGTCAAATATATTAAAACCATTTAGCAAAGAGAAACCCAGGAAAAAAATAACAGAGTGATACCTGTCTCAAAAGAATTATATGTGAAGTTAATTTTAGAGGATTCATTTTGTACTTAATCTGTGTAATGGGATATGAACAAAACAAAATTGCTTTGTACCAGTGTGAAAAGTAGGAAAGTGTTTGAAAAAATTAATGATTCTAGAGTTTTGAATATTGAAATGTCTCATTTAAATTATTATTTTACAACGTCTGCAATACTTACCTTACAACTTAGGGCGTAAGTATTAAGAGATTATTGTTAAAACTGTTTTCTTTTATATATTGCAGGGGAGAATTTGCCCTTTGGCTTGATGGAGATCTCTACCATGGAAGAAGCCATTCTTGTAAAACATTTGGAAATCATACACTTTCTAAGAAGGAAGATTTCTTTATTCAAGACATTGAAATCTGGGCTTTTGAATAAATGTAATGCTCTCTGTCTTAGCAGAATAATGGCCCAAACCTGACATGGACAAGCATTGTTTGGAAAGTTCAAGAAGCAATACAATGTAACATGTCACTTGTGCTTTAAAATTAATCGTATCACCATTTTTTACAGTTATAATTTTGGACTTATTTTTAAAATCATGTTTCTGTCCCAGGATTTTTTAGGTTTAGACCATGGTGTGGGTCCATACAGTGTAACAGCTTGGGTTTTGTTAGAATTTTGGCAGCATTTTAATCAGTGACCACCTCATCTACAATCCACGTTATCTCAGTCTCCTAATAGAATGGTGCTCTTTTTTTGAACCTCTTTTGGTTTATTACTTTTAAAACTATATTGATTGTTTTACTAGAGCAGTCTAATTGGGGCATTGAGAGAATGAAGACTAGATAATGCTGTGAGGCATCTGGAGGTTGGCACAGGTGACTTGGACAAGCTCAACTTAGTCATTCTTGTGAAGGAAAACACATGCCAAAATAATGCATATTTCATAAACCACTGAGTTCCAATTTTAATTCACACTACAACGTTCTCTTTATTAATTTTGCAGGTATTCTCAATTTCATTTTAATAAAAATGAAATTTGAAGAGAATTCTGGTTGTAATAGACCACAGTGCACATGATTTGCAGGTTTGGGCATATGGTTTCATGGTTGGATTATCAGATAAAGTTATAAAATACAAAGGAGAATGAGAACTTGATTCTACTGGACTTAATATATCAAGCAAGAAAATATACTATTTACATATTTGTAGCTTAGCAGGGCATTATCATAAGTACAAAAACTATGAAACAGATGCATATTTCTTCAACATATTGTGTCAGATATACTGTTTTATAGTTCTGTTGTTTTAGCCTTGTTGCACACCAACTCCCAAAATATAGGTTCCTGTTCAAAAGGAAAAAAAAAATGTTTTTTTTTTGAGTGGTATATGTTACTACCATTAGCATTTGCTGTTAGAAAAGGGCAATGATTATAGTAGACAATATTGTAACTCAGTAGACTTGTTGAATATGCAAACTTACTGTCAAGTGACCTCAAAAAAAAAAAAAAGACAAGATAGAATATACTAGTAGTTCTTATCCTCTTTTGTAGGAAACCAATAATATGCCATTGTGGCGGTCATTCATCAGTTAATTTCAGAGCTTCATGGTATGCAAAAAAAAAAAATCCTGCTGTTATACATGTGACAGTGACCTTGTGCTGAAATTTCAGCTATTCCAGATAAACATTGTATATTATCTTGTAAATTAATGTTTAAAGGTAGTTTTGTTCTTATTGTTGATTGCCAGGTTGCTTATAGCACTTTAAATTATTCTAAAAAGGAAATTATAAGCCAAATATGTTGGCTTTAGTAGTTTTAGTTGTATAGGACTTGAATATATTTAGATCTTTAGAAAGTTTAGATAATTATCTAAAGAAAGCATAATGCTAATGGAAAACAAAATCTGATCTATTTAATATGCTATCGCTGAATATGAATAGAAATGTGGGCACCATTTCCTTGTCTATGTAAGGCTCTGTCATTATAAGTTAGTAACAGTATATAGATTAAATGTTTACAATATAGAGAATTGTAAATAAATATATCATTTTTTCCCCTTTGGTCTTCCACAGCAGTATTATTGTCTTTGTGGAGTTGACTAATAATTAAAAAAAAAAAATCCTGTATTGGATTTCAATTACAATAAAGTCAGAGTGGTGTATACCAAATAAAATTAAATACTTAAATACAAATTTGAGTTTGGATTTATTGAATAATCAAGTTACTTTCATATCTAAGAAGTTTCTGATTAAGCCTACTACTATGGTTTATGTGTAAAAAATGCTCCCAGTAGTTTTGGGTGGTGGTGGTAATAGTAATGATGGAAGGATGCATTCAAGTAGAGAGAACATCATAGTTTTAAAAATGAGGAAGTGAGAGGGCACTTGACCTGTGAAGAAGTGCAAGTCATTTGATATTTTTAGTTTATGTTGTTTTCTTTTTGATGTGGATTGCATAGCAAGGTAGGACTGATACCATAGAGTTTCATTATGTGCAATGCCAAGAAATTTAGATTTTTTTTTTTATCTCATAGGAGCAATTAAGAAAATTTGAGTGGAGAAATGACACGATCAAGTTTACATTTTAGAAAGATCTCTCAAAATTAGATTGGTAGAGAAAAAAACTAGAGACCAGGAGACAAGCCTTTATACAGTCCAGAGAAAAAATGATGAGACCTGAATAAGAATTGTACAATGGTGATCAAGAAGGAGGATTGGGGGTTTGGGGGGAAAGCATGGATTTGAAAGAGATTTAGGAATTAGTGTTAACACAGTTTCATTATTACTTGTCAGAAAGAGGTTTAAGGATAGTTCTTAGGTGTTTTACTTGGCAAACTGGGTAAATTATCCATTGATATGAGTGATGTACAAAAAAGAAGCAGCAGATAGGGAAATTAGGTTAGTTATGAGAAATTAGCTGATGGGGAGAGGTGTTAATATTTCATTCCATTAAAAAGATTTTAAAATCAACAACATACAGGTAGATGTTGAAGCCATAACCTATGAATGAAATGCCCTTGGAGATTATAGACTGAGTGAAAAGAGAATTAAGATAAACTTTGGGGATATAGTAATATTAAGTGATAGGCAGAAGAAAAGACTCTTAAGCTTCCATTTCTAGAAGCTAGAACAAGAAGAAATGAAACCTAATGAAAATAAAAGGTAGGACAAAATGAAGATAGGAAGAGAAGTCAGTAAAATTTAAACAAGGATACAAGACAAAATCAGAATAATAAAACTGTAAACCTCTAGGAAGATGACGAAAAAGTACGATTGTTAATGTGAAAGGAGACATTACTACAGAGCCTCTATACTTTAAAAAGAGAGTATATTGTGAACAATTTTACATCAATAAACTTGACAATGTAGGTAAAATGGAAAAAACATTTTGGAAAACAATTCGCTAAACCTGACCCCAGAAGCAATACAATTTTTGTATTGTAGAATTTGAATTTGTTAATGAAAAAAAAATAGTCCACAAAAAAACCAGGCCCAAATGGTTCCACTGGGTAATTCTTTTAAGTATTTAAGGAAAAAAAGTCTTAATTAGATGAACTTTTCCCAGGGTATTAAGAGAGAACTTCAGATACTGCCTTTTGAGGCCAGCATGACCTTGATACCAAAACTTTACAATTCTTACAAGAAAATGAAGTTCTAAAACAGTCTCATATGAACATAGATACAAGATCCTACATAAAATAGCCGCAAATCAAATCAGCCATACATAAAAGAATGTCACCAAATTAAGTTTATTCCAGGAAAGCAAGAGAAGTTAACATTTTAGAACATACCATTTACCACATTTATAGAAAAAAAGTTTCATGATCATCTCCATAGAAGCAAAAGAAGCTTTTGGTTAATATCACTGGGGGTCTATGATAAAAACTCAGCAAACTAAGAAAGAAGTGCTCTTCCTTAATCATTAATGATAAAATTATTCTTGAAAAATGTACAGGAAGCATTAATTTATTGAAAGTTTCCTCCCAGAGATAGGAAACCTGACAATGATAACTGCTATCACCAGTTCTATTCAACATTGGTCTGGAAGTTTCAACCAGTGAAAAAACAACAAAGAAGGCATAAGGATTGGGAAGAAAGAACTTTAAATGTCATTTGTATGTAACATGATTTAGGACATGGAAATTCCAAAAAGATCAGACTATTTGAATTAACTAGTTGATTAAGCAAGGTCACTAAATACCAGTCCAATATAAAAACTTCATTTCTCATGTACAACCAACAATTAGAAAATGAAGCTTAGAACATTGCCATTTGTAATACCATTGAAAGTATCGGATATATAGCAGAAAAGACCTCAGTAAGAAGGATATACCATATTCATGATTGGAAGACAATATTGAAAGATGTCAGTTCTCCAAATCAATCTATATTGGCAGTGAAAATCTCAGCCAGGCTTATTTTTGGAAATTAAGCTGATTCTATAATTTATGTGGAAATTTAAAGACAGAATAGCCAGGGCAACACTGAAGAATGAGGCTGTAGTCTTGAACACCAGATACTGTGATTAAAAAGATGAATAAGTATGACAATGTGGTATTGGTCAAAGGATTTACAGAAGAAAGAATCAAAATCAAGAGCCCAGAAAAGAATTTTTTTGAAAAGATGGCACTTGCTCAATCAAGAGGATGGTCTTTTCAATAAATGGTGCTGGATTAATTGGATATGCATAATGAACAAATAATCTTGATCTATCTCATACCACACGCAAAAATTACAGACTGTGGATCTAAATGGAAAAAGTAAAGTATTAGCTTTAAAAATATAGAATATCTTCATGAACTTAGGATATGCATACATTTGTTAAATGGGACAAAAGAGCACTAATAAAGGAAAGAAATGAACTCTGCTACATTAAAATTTTAAGAACTTTTCATCAGAAGACATCATTAAAAGTGAAAGGGCAAGTAACAGAGAGGAAGGTTTGTATAATACACAGATCTAATGAATATCTTAAGCCCACAAAATATAACTGACTACAAATCAAAAAAATTCAACAAAAAAGATGAGACTTTGGCAGTTCCAAGAGAATTAGAATAGCCAATAAAGGCTATATTAAAGGGAAATGTGAACTGGAAAAATTTGGAAAATTTTCTTGGCAGGATCTACTAAAGCTGAGCCTTTGACCAGCAATTTAATTCCTGGTATATACCCAATAGTAATGTGTGTATTTGTTTACTGAGAGGTAAGTATTGGAATGTTTACAGAACTATTTGCTTTCTCCTCTCCCCACTCTCTCCCCCTCCCTCCACACACCCGTCCACTCACCTATTATGCTGAATCTAATTCTATTATACTTTACATATGTATTTGTGTGCCTCTCCTAAGACCTGGGGTATCCTTTTATATAACCACAGTATAATGTTTGAATTCAGGAAATTTAACATAACACAATATTTTGATTTAATATGCCATCCACTTTTTAATTTCACCAGTGGTCCTAATAATGTCCTTTAAAGCATTATTTTTCCTGATCCATTATCCAATCCAGGATCCTTCATTGCAGTTAGTTGTTCTTTTTGATCTCTTTTAACTTGGAAGAGTTCATTAGTCGTTCTTTGTGCTTTATGAGTGGTATGTTTGAAGAGCTCAGGATTATAGAATGTCCATCAACATGGATTTGTCTGAATTTTTCCTATATTTAGGTGATGCATTTTTGGCGAGAAAACCACAGAAGTGATGTTGTGTTGTCTGCATATTAGGATGCACATATATATGTTTAACCCCTTTTTGGTGATAATAGCTTGGATTAGTTGATTAATATAGTGTCCACTATGCTTTTCCACTGCTATTACTTTCCCTTTGTAATTAATAAGGAATGTGTGGGGAAATACTTTAATACCATAGTTATTCTGTTCTCCAAATTTTCAGTGTTTTTGGTATCCATCGAGGATTCTTGCCTGAGTTACAGAAATTGTTGCAAAATTATGATTTTTCTAACTTTCATTCCCAGCACATTTATTAGTTGGCATTTACTGTAAGAGCTTTCTTTTGTCACTTAAGAATATGTATTACTGGTATGAACTAATAGGTTCTTTTTTTTAATTCAAAGTGTTAGAGTCCATTTCTGTCCTATATTTAACCAGGGAGTGCCCTGTCAAACTGACTTCTGTACATTTTCTTGAGCTCTTGCCCCCGGTAAAACATGATGTTCCAGATTTACCTGTACTTTCTGTAACCCAATCCTAGAATCAGCCATTTCTCCAAGTAGACATGTTTCTCTTCAAGGAGAATGATATTTGGAAATCTGTTTTTTTTTTTTTTTAAAGATTTTATTTATTTGAGAGAGCACAGTGGGAGAGTAAGAGGGAGAAGCAGACTCCCTGCTGAGTGGAGAGCCCCATGCAGGGCTTGATCCCAGGACCCTGATCATGACCTGAGCCAAAGGCAGATGCTTAACCAACTGAGCCACCCAGGTGCCCAGAAATCTGAATGTTGCTTGTTGCTGCTGGGGTGGCATTGCTTCTAGGGCCTTTTAGGAGACAGAGCTAGGAAGTAAATTCACACATCATGAATGCACGCTAATACCTCTAATTGCGATCTAACACTATGGACTTCTTCCTTGTCTTCCCACTCTCCATGTTTGTATCTCTTCTCCCTCAGTGAGGATATCCATATATGACTCATTTGCTTAACCTGACAATATACACATCATAGTTACAGAATTGCTACACCCATACTCTCACAACAAAAGTAGAATATTCCTTTGCAGTTTTTTGTCTTTAGACTGAAGATATTTAATCGAAATATTGTATTCAAGAGTTATATACATTTCTTTTTTTATCCTATGAGGTTAATAATTTGAAATAGAATTTGGTTTATTACTTTCGTTTATATTCAATTTCATTTTTTTCTGTCTTCATTTAATTTTACTTTTTGTATATGTAAGGATTTAAAGGGTTCCAAAGTCAAACTGCAGAATTTTGTCTCTTTCAACCAATTTCCGCCCCCCATCCCTACAGGAAGTCAATTTCATTATTTCTGGTTATCCTCTATTGTGTACATATTAATATATATATGTACACACACACACATGCAC